CTATCTTCCATTTTAAACTAGGGGGGATCCATGGGTTACCCCCAACCCCCCTCTTTGACACCCTTTTGTCAAACTTCAGTCGACCTTGTAGCAACTCCCCCGACCCACCAAGTTGAACAGTTCAGTGGGATGGATGCCCGGTATTTTATGCAGCCATCATTGATATGCAACTATTTAAGGTTTCCGATGGGGCGGATTGTGAAGTCCCCAAACGTACTATTGTCAAGAATAATTAAAAAAAAAATATTTTCTATACACAGTACGTTTGGGGACTTCACAATCCGCCCCATCGGACACCGTAAATAGTTGCATATAAATAATAGTTGCATATAAATAATAGTTGCATAAGATTGGAACTAGCTCAATACCTATCCCCCAATCCTGTTAAAGAACACGTGGGGAATGGATGTTGCATATCAATGATGGCTCCATAAAATACCGGGCGTCCATCCCACTGTACCGTTTAACTTGGTGGGTCGGGGGAGTTGCTACAAGGTCGACTGAAGTTTGACAAAAGGGTGTCAAAGAGGGTGGTTGGGGGTAACCCATGGATCCCCCCTAGTTTAAAAGGGAAGATGGAAAAGAAGTATAAGCTCTGTATTCTATTTCGAATCTATTTCTATGTTTTAGGTGGGAAAAAGATTAATGTTGCATCATGAGGGAAATAAAGGCCAACCAACCCTAACCCTATGAAAGGATTATTAATATACAACTTAAACCGTTACAGAAAAAATGGAAAGCTAAATCTAAATATTAAAGTAATACCAATTGATTTAATTACAAACTAATCACTAAACTTCAAAACACTTAGTTATCGCGATACTGTTACTACTTCTATGAGTTCACCCATTGACCCCTACTATAAGCGAAAAGTTGCATTCTTTGAAAAAATTGTATATTACTAATAATATTATAACTTCAAAATGTTTTTAAAATTCAGTTAAATACTAAATCAATTAGCATAGTTGAATAAGAACCCTGACACATTGGTCAAATACCTTGGAAAAAAAGATTAAATTTTATAAGTTTTGTACTCAAAACAAACTGCAATTGACCAAGTGGTATTCAAAAAAAATCTTGAAATCAAAAAAAAAAAGTTAAAGAAGTACAATATTATCTACTATTTATATAATAAACATATATCCTAGAAAATAAATGTTAACCGGTGTATTGTTACATAACAGGGAGAAACCGGTGTGGTAATGGGTTTTTTGGTTTGACACAGTCAAGGATTTACTATTTTCTTTGATTTATTTTAGTTTTCATATATTTAATTTGCTTTACTTTTTTTTATTTATTTTCGTTTTTTTTGGCTTTATGATTACTTGTTTATGCTTATATATATATAATTTTCATCTCATTGTTATAAAATATATGTATATTATTTATACCTGACTCATCATACTGTATTTAGAACTATATTTTAACGAGTT